TTGAAGGTTAATTTGTGGGTTATGAAATAACATTTGACAGCCCTGATAGAAGGTTTATTTTACAAAAGAGGAGTAAAATGAGTGTTCTTAACTTAACAAAAATGGCCGCCATTGAATGATGTGCAGTGTTGCAGTGATTTTTAGTATTTTTAGTACGAGATCGAACAGACCTTGTTGTGTGGATTATGAGGGTGCCATTTAAAATATTTTAGTAGGGTAGCTGGAGGTGAGAAGGTGCAACATACGATTTGTCTAACATCTTTTTGCTCAAGATCATTTTAACCATAACTTAAAAGTTATTAAGGGTGGCTAGATTTTAATAAAAGCCCTGTATAAAAAGTATACCTACTTTATTTTTCAGAATTTAAAGTTAATTTTATTTAACATTTATCTAAAATTTGACAACTGTCAAAGGGTTTTAACCTCACTTTACACCAATCTGACATCTGTCAGACAGTTTTAAACTTCCTTTTTAGTAGATAAAATGTAAAATTACCTAAAATTCTATATAACGTAAAGTTCATTTTTTTTATCTGGACTGTGGCAACGTTGCAAATTTAGGGTTTTGGTTGGTAAATACAGTTTTCAAGTTGGTCGCATTGATTAAAACAAACTAAGCTAGTTATAAATCTAATTGTGATTATGTATAAATTATTGCAGGTTAAATTGTGCAGTTGTCAAGTTGAGTTGTCGAAATTCGTAGTTAAAAATGCAATTAATTTGGCTTTGGTGGTGCTTGAATAAGTAAAATCATATAAAAAAGTAGTTAAATATAGGTTGCTTTACGGCCCAGAAGAGAAAGTATTCCTAGCGGATAATAATCTTCGCTTTGAAAAGAATTTATTTAAAAGAAATTAAAATTTTTTGTGAACCTAAATGTTGTCCAATGGTGAATAATGTAAAAATAATGTTTGATGTAATATTTATAACACCAAATTCATTACTTTTTTACTCCAAAAATGTCCATAAGGCGATGTACTTTTTCTTCCATTGCCGCATTTGGCATAATTTCATCAAAATGAAGTTTTGCCCTCAAAAGGGCTTTTACATTCGAATTCGTTGCTATTATTTTTGGCATAATTATCTTTTTATTTATAATTGACAAGTAAATTATCAATAATAAATCGTGACCTTGGAATGACAAGGTTCTAAGTGCAGTCGCGCCGTTAAGCAAAAATGACTTATCTAGAATATTAATTATTGCAGGTAAGGCATTTTTGCTTAACGGGGTAGCTGCACTTAGAACCTTGTCATTCCAAGGTCACGAAATATTATTATCAATTTGACAGTGTCAAAGAATTTAGTTAAATTCTTTAGCAGAAGTACCATTTTTAAATACTAAAAATACTAAGTCAAACTGGCATAAGCCACTAACCTAACAAAAAAACACGAGTCAATAGAGATTATTATTGTCTTGTCAGAAAATTTGCCTTTACAATTAAATAGATCTGTACTATACAAGAATTACAATAAATAAGATTTATTTAATTGTAAAGGCAAATTTACTGACAAAACAAGCGTTTAGTAGGCAACATGGCAAACAATTTAAGTGAAAGGCATCGGATAAACTGAACATTGCAAATAATAATACCAAATTGACAAGAGTGGAAAGCGTGACTGACTGACTGCTCAATAATGATTTTATACCACAGACCTGTGTTTTATACTGAACGCGCCACCGTTGTTTGTTGGCGGGATACACAACACCGAAAAATGTTCTTTCCGGAAATAAGACGAACATTTTTTTATGACAGAATTAGTTACAATCAAAGTTTTAATGGTTTATAATTTTAATAAATTTAATAATTTTCAATTAACATTGTTGTTTACGAGTTTGTGTACAGAGACGTATATTAAAATTGTCCAGTTAAAGTCAACAGTCCAAGGCCGTGAACAATTAAGTAAACAGATAGCTAAAAATTATTCAATTTCATATAATTTTCCAATACAAGTAAATTCTCTAATAAATTGTTTTTATTAAAAACATACCTATGTATATGTGATTTTTCTACACAAATAAATCTTATTTTATTATATTTTTTATCAAATATTATTATAACATTTAGATTTGTTAACATGAGTTTGTAGTTTGTTAATTTTATTTTGTAAAATTTTAACATAATTTTTTGTAGAAAACCAGCAAACCCATAGGATTTGTAATTATTTTAACAAAGGAAAATATTTTACCGAAAGTTTTGTAAAGGAAATATGCAATTTTGTGAGCATTTTATTAATTTGAAAGGTTAAAGATTATTTTGTTAATGTTTAACAAATTATTTTTTTGAAAAAGTACACGTGATTTCAGGCAGTCAATCAAAACATATTTTACTGACAATATACGTATTAACAAGTTCAACTGTCCAGAGTGTTTATAATATATTACCAGAAATCTGTTATTATTGTTATTCTATTTAACGAGTGTGCGAAGTGCGAAGTATCCGAAAAAAGATGCCATCACTGGTTTTTAAACTCAAATATAGTGAAGTGGGTTAAAGTTACGAAATACGGTTTATCAATCTCTGGTTTAGTTCCAGTTAGTCTATCTGACAATTAAATTCCATATCGATCGTTGTGAGAACAATGGTATCCATGGAGATTATCTGCCAGATAACTAACTACAACTTTAACTGGACATTGATAAACCGGTGTTGTGTTGTAGTAGTACTGATAATTATATTGTAGGTACCACATTTCCTTATAATTTAATGATTTCAGAATTGTATGTGTGTTATTTTTGTGTTAATTTAAATAGGTATGTGATTTTTTTGTTTAGGAAATTGGTTAATAAAGCAACATTTCTTATCAAAATTCTTTTCATTTAAGTTCCCAATATACAAAAAATACTTTGTTACTGGGTCTACAAAAAGGATTGGAAAATAAGGTTCTTTTTAAAAATTACAAGAATTATGTTGAATTATTGATACAGGATTTTGTTATTAAATCTACAAAATGTTTATTATAATTACAAACTACTTATTCAATTAGTTAACAGATTACAGTTGGTTGTAAACTTAACATAAAGTTGTGTGGACCTGGATTAACATAAAATCTGGTTAATATTTGGTTAAAATTAACAAATATTTTTTTAATGTGTACTAAACAGCGTGTAGTAATATTTTATCTATGTAAATATTTACCAAAAAATGGTAATCATAATCAACTCCCTTTGACCATTTAATGGTATATATAGCTTAAGCTATATATAAATTTTATCCATAAAACATATTATTCAATTTCTGTGTACAAAAATTTACCATAGGGAAAAAAATATTTGACTATTTTGGAATTTGTTTTATTGTAATTTTTAAGGTTTTTACATACATTTTCTCTTAGAATCGTAAGAAAACTAAATGTTTAATTAACTATGCGGTTTTACAAATAATTTATTTACATAAAACAAAGTTTCCCAAATAAAATTTAAACAATTTACCAATTTTTAAATAAATCCTGAAACATAGTTTCCTTTAATACTTACTAAGCTGCAGTTTTTATTTACCCAGTTTGCCGTAAACGGGGTTTGTAAAAACCCAGTAGTATATTTTTTATTTAATTTAATTATTTTGGAGATAAATATACAGGGTGTCTCGAAAATAGTGTTTTTAGGGCCAAAAATAGGAAGAAAACTTTATATAAAAATTATTATTCTTATTATAAATAATGTGTTTTTAGTAAAATATACATATGTATTAAAAATTTTTTTTATTTAAATTGTTATTTTATTTTTATCCGAAAATTGTGCAGCAAATTTGTAAAAAAATTGCACATACAAAATTAGGGCCTAAAAATACCCTAAAACATCAACAAAGACAACTTTTAAATTTTGTTGTTATTTTTAAATACAGCATAAAAAGTTAAGTAGGCATACAAAATTTCATTATTTTATCTCAAAATGTTTCAAAAAAAAAATAATAATAAACCATCTTTAGGGGTGCAGCTCCCTTAGGGACCGTATGCAGATATTATCTTTATAAGAATATTTCTTACTATTTTTGTCACACCATTTTCGGGACACCCTGTATATATTTTTATAACTTAAGGTTTATTTTTAGTCATTTCGGCTTTTATCGAAAATTTATTTTTAAAAAATCGGTAGTTCATAGTATTTAAGATAAACATTTATAATAGTTTAGTAATATTTTTATTTGTTAATTTAAAATAAAACGTCACCATGTTTTTTATTTATTTTGTTTTGATTTCACATACATTTAAATTTAATTTTATATCATAAATGTATAAAAATTGTTTGTTTAATTAAACAATTCCAATGTTAATTGTCTCTATAACAGGAAACTATCAAGGCAAGGTTTTAAACAATTAAATGCAGAAAAATATACATAATAACATTATATATTTTTAATTATCATTATTCAATATTGCAACAACTTAATACACAGTTGTATGAACTAAATTTGTTTTAATGATTTAAGTAATTTTTGCCAAAATTATGGAAAAGTTTAAATAATAAATTAATGTTATGAAATTTGTTTTTTTTAATATTTATTAATACCAAGTTTAAACTGGGTACATTAACAAAAATATAAATTTGATGATAATAATAATAATAATAATAATACAGGGATTTTAAAAATAGAGTTATATATTATAAGAGTTTTCTTTAAACCATATATGATTGATCCGATTTTATTTAACTTTTATCCACCATTACACGAACCGAAACCGAACAAGAAGCCTAGATTATAGGGGACAGAAAAAAACAACAAAAACAAAAAGTAGGTACCTATAAATAATTAAATTTAAGGTCTTAACCTTAATTCTTGTTTATTACACATGCATAGAGCTAGAGTTAAAGTTTAAAGTTATAGCAACTTTTATTATTTCCCCCCCAAATATTTCTACACTACAAAAAACCTTAATTATGAAATAAAATTACCTAAAAATTCTAAAAAACCATAAATTCTAATAAATATTATAAAAAAATTATATCCCAAAAAATTTAGTTTGTCAATATTTAATTTAAAATTCTTATTTTTTATTTTTAGCAAAGTTGGTTAACACTATGTTTGTTGCGCATTTAGGCCTGGTTATAGGCGACCGGATATGAAGTGAGGCGGTTCCGACCGGATATCCGAAAATAAAAAGAATGCACCCTTCTGGTTTCACCTGAACGAAGCTAACCCCCTATGTTTAAAAGCTTTAAATAGGTATGTACGAATTGTTATCCTTTAAGTGTTTAATATTAAATCAAAAGTTAACGTTTGTTAAATATTTCTCACAGTGGAGCAAGTTTTTTAATAATTGTTCTTCTAATAAAAACGTATTCGCATGTGTTACTCTGTTTTCCACGTTCTTTAATTTTATGGCAATTATTTTTTACTCCCACCTTTAAAACGCACATTATCGTTTGTTTCCATGACACTAAGTGACCTTTTAAATACACATTGACAAGTTGTGGCTTTATGGCATTTTAGTCACGAGCTGAAGTTAGTTTTAAGTTGACAGTGGTCAAAAATCATGCAATAGTTAAAATAAAGTGCATTATAAAATAATAATATCTAAATGTAAAAATTATTTTAATTTTAATTAACTTAATTTCGGGTGGAGAATCCACCGTGAAGTGCCCATAACAAATTTTCTTCACTTTCACTGAAAAACTGTTGTTAGTCCATTTTCAAGGGATACATTTCGATTAACACATAAAAATTTGACATTTTCACCACAACACAGATTCTCAAGTTGGTTACTCTATTGTTTAATATAAGTCGCACTATACAAATATTTAATTTAAATCATTTTTAGATAATAATAAGTATTTGTCGTAGAAAAAAGTATATTTTAATTAATTAAACGTATTTAAATTCGTCACTAAAATGTTTATTTAATAAAAAATCAAACGTTTAAAGCGATAAAGTTTTATCACTATAGTTTGAATTAACATTTTTACATAGAAATTATGTAATACTCGTATTCATTAAATAATTTTTATTTTGAGTTTTTTTAATACAGACAATTTGGAGACTAGACAAAACAAAACACAATGTAAATATTTGAAATCGATGGAATTTATTTTTATAAACTAAGTAACAAAACATAAATAACAATTAATTGGATCAGTCTACACAATTCTAAAAATCTTAAAACCAAAATGTAAATAAAAATGATTTTTAAATTGTTGTTTGTGGTATTATTTTTGTAAAACTGCAAAATATTAGGGACCGGGCGATTTCATTATCGCGGGGCAACATTTAATAAATTAGGTAAATGAAAACACTGCGGATAAACCATTTGTCCTAGGATGTGCCGTAGCGCAGAAATCAATAAGCAATTTGAATCTGTACCTATCTAATTCTGATTATTCTGGATGGAAATCTAAAAATAAAGTAAAGTAAGTGTCGTTTTACCCATAAATTTAAGACATATGAACAAATGAAGTATTAAATAATTTAAACTTTTTTATAAACATAAAAAGTTGCGGACAATATAATAAAACTGATACCCGGTGGAATTATAAATATTAGAAATATTCCCCAACACCAAAACAAAACACAAAGTGCTTAAAGTACTTTTCGCCAACGATGTTGGCATCTTCAGAAGCGAAGTGTAACTGCGTTACATACACTTCGCTTCTGCCAAAATCATTGGCGAAAAGTACTTTAGACACTTTGTTTTGTTTTGGTGTTGGGGAATATTTCTAATATTTGTTTATAAACATATATAACATATCACCAAAGTTGTCCATAATAATTCCATAATTTACGAAAATAGTTATCGAAATTAATTATCAATGGACAAAATAATGTTACCCCAAATTCAAATGTATCTTGACCTAGGAGAACTGGGAAAAGCTGTTGAAATACCAACTTGACTCATTCAACGCCTATCGACAATGCAAATTTAATTATTTAAAGCCTAAATAGTGTATACGTTTGTTGGCATGAATGAAAATAAAGGATTTTAATGCTTGCCGTAATAGAATGGTAATCGCGATTGTACTGTGAACTATTGAAAAATAATCAATGATGACGACGTTCGTTTCACTTGACGTAAACATGTATAGTAGTCAGACGTACTTTTTTAGTTATTACTAGTCAGTAGCGGCTGGTGGATTTTGCGTATACCGATATCTTAGTTATTAGACATGGGACTCACACCAAATTTATATAAGTTTTTAATGACACTAAATTAACAAGTTCTGCGCAAGCCCTGTTATAATACACTGCGCGTCAAAATTAACTCATGATAAGTAAAAAAAATTCAACTCTAAAACGCCTTTATCAATCTTTATAAAATTTTGGATAAAAATACTTTAACTTATATCTCAGTTTACGTGTTCAAGGGTTTTTCGTAAGTAATATCATAAGGGCATTTAATTTTTCCGAAAAGAATCGAAAAAACACGATGCTAAGTGATATTTTAACAAAAAGCATGAGTGCTGGTGGCAACAAAAATCCGAGTCGAAGAGGAGGATTTTTGCACCTGCACGAATGCTTTTTGTTAAAAAATATTACATAGCATTGTGTTATTTCGATTTTTTTTCACAGGAAAAATTAGATGCCCGAATGGTATTTGACAAGACTATTTCATGAGTAACAGTTAACAATTAAAATATAAATTGCAATTTTTGGTGACAACAGCTGTCAAGTTTTGCCGCGGGTAAACTCGAAAAAAACTGCTGACAGGTGCTGTCACACAGTTTTTTCACCTAGAAACCATTTGTAATTCAAAATTGCGCGTTTGTGATTGGTGGAAATTAAGACGAGGGAAATAGTCGAAAAAATATCCTTTTATTTAATAAAAAAACGCTCGAAAAAAACTTTTAATGGGAAATTTTTTTTGAAGTCAATAAAAAATATGCTTTGAAAGACCGTATTTTTGTAAGTATACTCTAAAAATGTTGTATAAATCAAATGAACAGTAACGAAAATACAGCGCCTCAAAGTCATCAAATATGACTACTTTTCAGCAAAATAATCAAAAAGGGGTCATTTTTACCGACTTTGAAGAGCTGAATCTTCGTTACTGTTCGTTTGATTTGTACAAAATTTTCAGGGTATACTAACAAAAATACGGTCTTTAACATCATATGTTTTATGTACTTAATAAAATTCCCTTTTATGGGTTATAAAAGTTATTTTTGAACGTTTTTTTGATTATTAAATAAAAGGGCTTTAAAAATATTTTCTCGAAAAACCCTCGAACACGTAAACTGAGATATAAGTTGAAGTATTTTTACACAAAATTTCATAAAGATTGGTAAAGGCGTTTTAGAGTTAGAATTCTTTAACTTATTATGCGTTAATTTTGACGCGTAGTGTATTACAGATTTTATACCATTTTAAATAAATTTTTATTTCTTTTCCTATAGGAATTTTATTTCTTTATTATTTTATAAAATAATAAAAAAATAAAATGGGATAGAATCTGTAGTATTTGGATTTTTTAAATAAATTTTTTAATAAACTATGGTAGGTATATTATAAATTGCACCACTAAAATTTGTATTATCTTTATTAGGGGGGCCAGGCTGCAGGGTAGGATTAGTGAAGGGACTATTCGAATACAAATAATCGAAGTATTCGATTCTGGCGTGCATTCGAATGCATTCGATTCTCAACAAAGTATTCGAATAGTTCGAACTATTCGAATCGAATCGAAAGCGCTTGCGTGTCATCGAGCGGAAGGTGGGAGACGAGAGATTTCTCTGCATTCGAATTCACGCCAAAGTTGATTTTTTGTATCGCATGGAGAATCGGCTTGCATCGAGCTGGACCAGCACTGCTTGTGTTAATTTTAATATGTAGTAAAATCTTATAATATAACAAAAAAAATAATTATCTAACAATTATTATTAAAACTTTTTAAATGTCAAAAAATAAAACATATAACCGACGTTCCAACCAAATTAAAAATAAAGAATGTTGAATTTTGGTGACTATTTCCTTAAGGATTTTAATTTTTAATCAAAAGGTATTATTTTATTAAAAATAAAGAGCATACATTTTTACTTTATTAAAATAGGCCATAAATTTTCACCTATTTACAAAACCTGACAAATAATATGGTTTATGTTTTATGACAAAAATAAAGAAAGCATGTCATAAATCAATTAGTAGGTATATTAGCCGGTTTAGAATTTATATTGCACCCAGTGCGACGCCAACCCGCTTAGCCCATAACGAATTGTAAACAAGAAATAAAATGACCATTCGAATACAGAGAATCGAATAGTTTGTTCCGAAAACATTCATTCAATAAATGTGTTCGGCTATTATCGGTTCCGATTCGGAACAAACTATTCGATTCTCTGCATTCGAATGATCATTCGATTCTTTAGACTATTCGAATGCAAAGTATTCGATTCTTAAAATCATTCGATTCTCCCTTCACTAGGTAGGATAAACTTTAGCACAGTTTCTACAATAGTGCGACCTGACTTACCTCTGCGACTTTATGCTCTCCTGATATTTACTGGCGTTTAAAAGCGTTTCAAACAGTGACAAGCCTCATTTCCGACGCCTGCTAAAATTTTCCTCTCAACGCGATAAAACTTCTTTTCTTCACACACTAGTGGGAGAAAAAGGAGATTCCTCACGTTTGCCGCACGAGCTTATCGATATTTATTTATTTTATTCACCACAAAGAATTTAAATCCAAATTTATTTGATATTTTATCTGACATGTGACAGCTGTCAATTAGTTTTAACCTTACTTTTTTCAAAATTTAACTTAAAGCTAACAGCCCGAAATGCTATTTCGCCCACTAGTGGGAGAAGTAAAATTTCGCCCCCCAGTTAAAGTTAAGAAATTAAATGGGAGTTGGATAAAAAGTAATTAAAATATGTAATTTTAACTCACTTAAATTTACAATTTACAAAGCAAATTTTGAATACTCGGTAGGTTTTAGCCTTAGTTGTTTAATATCTAGGGAAATCAATTTAGTAAATTTATAGTATATTTATATTATTTGAAAATTGTTACAATTTTATGTAATTTTTTTAAAATATAGTTAAATAAATTACATTGACCAAAACTTTTAGTGTATTTAAAAAAAATTACATAAAATTGTAACAATTTTCAAATAATATTTACTAAATTGATTTCCCTAGATATCGAACAACTAAGGCTAAACGAGTGGATACAATTACATTTTTATTTAAAATTTATTCTTATTTTTGCCAGTTTTGATATGTAGCCATATGAATGC